TGGGCGGCGGCGGCGGCGGCAGCCCCGCCGGGCTGGGCTCGGCCTGGTGCTGTAATAAACCTGACCTCAGCCCCGTGGCCGTCTGTGTCGTGCTGAAGTCAGGGGTCCGCGGGGAGGGCTCGCCGCGAAGGGCAGGGGAGCCTCTTCCCCTCTTGCTGTTATCGTCGTTGCTTTGCATTTGTTATTTTTCTTTTCCTAAAGGGGTGGCTGCGAGGGGAGTTTTTGTTCTCCTCCCCCTGTAAACCTGACTGCTAATCCGTTCTGAGAGTCTGTGCGTGTCCGGGTGTGCTCAAGGTTTTCCCTTAGTGCTGCTGTAGTGCTGGGAGCCACTTGGGATTATAACTGGGGCACTCTCTCATATGTGTAATGCCTTTTTAATTTGATCTCCTTTTAATGGGAGCTCTGGGAGAAGGGTTGAAGTGGGCGAGCAGTGGGGGAGAATATGATTATTTCCTGGGAGTTTGGGATTTTATACGAGTTTGCTTTGCTGGGTGATCTGTAGTGTCTTCCTTTATATTTTCATCATCTGCATGGCATCATACAGTCATTCCCTCAGTCTGCTAAGTGGGTTGGATAGTGAGGAGGTTGAAGGTGGGGGTAGGTGAGAGCTCTTAAAAAAAATCTAGAGGGACCGTGTTTCTCGGCTTCTGCATAACCTCCGCTGAATGTTCAAATCCCAATTCTAGTCTCTCCTAAACATGAAAAGGGAGAGCAAACCGTCTGGTAAAGGATGGCTATCACCAGTGCAAAAAAAAATAATCTCACTCGCTTCCAGGCAGCTTTGGCCAGCTGGTCTTCTGGGAATACCAAGAAAGGTGGAGCAGGCAGGATGGCTAATCCCATATGAATTGGCTTTCCCCTGCTTGTCAATACTCATAAATTTGCAGCACTATTAAAGCCCAGCTACTTTGGTGTGACTTGTATTAATATTTTAAAAAATATGACACATCACTATTCAGTTTGTATATCCTTTCATTTCTCAGATAGTCTTGTCATCTTGGGTAAATTAGTAAAATACTACTTTTTTTTCTGGAGGATGAGTTATAGCAGCTCTTGCAAGTTTTAAGTTCTCTCACGCAGTCCTTAAGTTTTTCTTGATTCCTGAAATGGATTTTTAAAAGGAGATATATTCTTGTCTGTGTGCCAGTGGAGTGCACTGTGGAAGCATGTATGAAGGCAGAGATTTTTCAAAAGGCGCTGTTAAGAGTTAGATACATGAAATTAATTCACTTTCCATATGATGCTGGAGCATAACTCCTTCAGGTTTGTTGGTGTGAAGCTTAAATACTCCTATTTCTGTTCAAGGAGAATAACAATGTCCGTATCGGCATGTTCCTTCAGTCAGTAGTTTTTCTCAGAGTAGTAGAGAAAGGTATACTTAAATCAGGGAAGAGTATAGCATGGATTAGAGCATAAACTTTTTTTGTGACTTTTTGTCACTATGCATAAACCAAACCAGAAGATATTTTCCTTAAATAACATTTGTATGAAAGTTGAAGAGAGCCTTCTGAAAATAATTACGTGAACAGTTCGGTAATAAGTACTATAATATATTTAGGAGAAAAAATAAAATTTACAAAGTTCTCATACCTTATTGAAGCCACTTACTCTTTAAGATAGATAAATAAATAAATAAAATAAATATCACAGATCATTAAGTGGATTTTCTGTACTTTTACTTGCCAGATCATAATAACTGGGGTTCACAAGGGATTCCTGTGGCAGAGATTGCACAACAAGGTGTTACTTTAATCAGATTTTGCTTAACACTGTGAGATGCTGGGAATTCTGGGTTATGGTGCAAAACTCACGAAGTCATTGGAAGGAATATCCCAAGCTTGACTGGGTTTGGGATGAGCTTGAAGGTCAGCTTTAAGAAATTATAAGTTTGAGATTCATTGCCATAAATTGGGTAAACCAGCTGCTGTAATGGTTCTGGACAAGATTATAAGGGTTATCCCTAGTTTCCTATTAAACTTTTCCTTGGACCACTTCTTTTTTATGTTGGGGAGAGGTGTCAATAGCTCAGATGTTCTGCAGTGCTGAACAGGCATGAAATTAGCAAGGGTAATAGAATTGCATTCCATAGGATATCCTGCAAATACCAGAGAGCTTTAACTGCCGCATTTTACACATGGGGTTATGCTAGTATTTCATTTTAATTTGTTTTCTGATTGAATTGTTTAATTAGATGCCATCTGGGAATTCCTTTGGCGTATAAATTGCAGTCTTGTAATATTTTATCAAGTGTCCTGGAAATGCGAAGGAATATGAGGTGCCTTCATATAAAACACTTTTTTAAGTAAGTATTTTTAAAAAGACATTTTCATGGCAAAAAAACTATCAGACTGAAAAGAGCGTTGCGGGGGGAATTTACAAATGAGAGAGAGGTTCGGATCACTTAAAGAATCCCCTCCCAATTGTATGAGCAATAGAAAAATTATTTAATAGAGATTTGTATGGAAGTGTGACTTCACAGAATTCGTTGGCAAGGTTTACTCTATTACTTAGTACATGGATGAAATGCACACAGGAAAATTAAGTCAGAATCAAACCAAACTTATGTGTGTAGGGACTGAAAACATAATGGGGTAAAAGGAAATGTGGGAAAGGGTAAGGGAGACCCTCCCGTTGAGTCATGTGGTTCAGAGAAGACCCCCTTGCTTTCTAAACTCACGTTGGAGTCTAGGTGCAGCTGGATCGACTCCTAGTCCCAGACTTGGGCAATGGTTTATATCTAAAGGGATTATGAGTATAATAGCAGCCTGAAATTCATTCACAGTTGAATAAAAATCACAACAGTAATTTAAGTATAAATTTGAAAGTATTAACTTATATCTTACAATATACTTGCTATAACATACTTAATAACTTATATCTTATAATGTACTTGCTATAACTTGCTTAATATCTTATAATATACTTGCTATAACTTACTGTAGACTATTCAAGTTAGTACACATGTATGCTTAAAGACACTGAGAGAATTACATATAAGAGAACAGAACAGGGTAAAAGAGAGAGAGAAAAGAGGTATACTTGCTAAAAATTCCCCTCGAGATCGGGGAAAATATTCATGTCGAATGCTTCGGCATTTGTCTCAACGGGCAGAGTCGAGCCTCAAGGAGTGAAGAGAATCAGCCCAGGTTGTGTTGGCTTTTGGCGACGGACCTCTGATTTTTGCAAACAGGAAAGTTTGTGAGCTGTGAGAGGCATCCCACTCGGAGATGCTGGTTGCAGCCAGCTGCAGTCCAGGAGAGCTGAAAGGGCCTCACTTAGGACCACTGTTTATAGGTTTGGGAGATAATTGACTTTCATCATTAACAAAATTCTAGAATCCCAGCTGCGCTGGAAAAGTCCGAGACTGAGAATAACTCAAAACATAGATACAGGATGCTCCAAGATTGTCAGGGGAGGATTGTAATGTCTCAAGGTTGTTAGGAGAAAGAACTGGCTGCAGGTTGAGAACTGGCCATGTCTACTCCCATCCCCCGCCTTTGCCGGGCAGCGGGAGTCCTTGAGACGCACAGCGTATCTCCCTGTGTTAGCTGTGTAAGAGTTCCTGGCACAGTCAAGGGTCGCTTAACTGTCTGACTCATTACACTTATGCTAAGGCCTAGTGAGCCTTCCCGAGTTCATAAATCAGCCCGGAGAGGGGGAAAGAAATGCACCACCACAAAGAGATTTCCAGATCAGAGAAGCTGAGAGAGAATGAAAGTATGCATGCCTCATGTTTGGAAAAAACAGTATGGAAAGGGAAATATTTGTACTGGTATTGGCCAAGAATTGAAAAGTTAGAATGCACAAGTACGTACCTGCCACATTGTACGTCTTACACTGCTGTGTATTCACACTTCTGCAAATGTTGAAGGATAATAATTTCTCTGCACAAATTTTCTGGGTGCTGGAAATGGAATAAGAGCATGTGTGTCTGCTCTGCCTGTATGGTACTTCTCTGCTTCCTTCTTTCCTCGTTATGTGTTAATTTATGTCATGTAGCCTATGGGTGTGCTGCACAAGAGTCATGTGTCTGTATAGTGACTTTTGTGATAGGCAGTTTGGGGCAGGACTGGCAGCGTTGCAGTGTAGTTGGGCAATGTGGACCACAGAAAGAAGTATTTTGTGGAGTGGAAGCATGATGCTGGAACTTGAGCTTAAGCCTGGGAATCGTGAATTCTTGGCTTGCGGCCTGCCACAGTTTACAAGATGGTTTTGGTCAAATCATTTTACCTTTTTACAATGATGATCACCTGCATGCTTTTCTATGGTAGTGTGTTGTGATAATGGTGTTAATTACATGTGAATGCTACCCAGCTAGTACTAAAGAGATTCTCCCCC